GTCTCTCTCTGCTCTCTCTCTCTCTCTCTCTCTCTCTCTCTCTCTCTCTCTCTCTCTCTCTCTCTCTCTCTCTCTCTCTCTTACCAAAGCTGAGCTTCGACTGACGTAGTCTTCTCATTATATCTGAGTCAGTGTAAAAAGAAAATACAATGTTATATCTTCAATGTTTTACTCAAATTGAAATGAAAGAAAAGCATTACAACGTTTGTTAAAAGGTTATCCTTCTGACATTGGATGAACGCAATGAACTTTAGCTCTCTAGCTAGTTTATTCACGCAATTTAAACCAAAGTATAGCCTATAGCTGCAATATAAGTTAGTGTGCATGTTGTCGGACGTCCAGTGACTAACGTAGAGCGTTCACACAGGATCTGCTGGTCCTATGATGTCCTGATGAACAGAAACACAAGCAGCCCGCTGGACTCAGATCTCTAGATACCTCATCACTCCTCTGCTGCTCCGGTTCAAGTCCGGTCTGCGGTGGTTTGTTGATACATGTCGTCTTCTTCTGTTTGCTTTAATCGAGGCTACGTAGTTATGCAGCGCCCCCATGGTCAGTAAATGGAAGTACTACAAAGAACCCCGTTTAGTGCAATTATTTCACAAGTTTTGTCACACAGCTCGGAAAATATTACCGAGGTCCGGACCTCGGTGACCTCAATGGTAGATACGGCCATGCCCTGGATATGTTTGAGTTATCTGGCTTAACTAACCCTAACAAACGAGATCTCGCAAAGCGGTCCTGCGACGCTGGTTATCAACTCGGTAAATCAACCCAGGGTTTCTCTCTCTGGCTGAGAGCGCGTTCATATTTTACCAATCACAAACATGGAGAAGCGTTCTGACAGAGCAGCACGCTTAATGAAAAGTAAAATATCATGTTAGACAAATATGAAGAAGTTAAAACTTTAAACATCCATGACTTAAACACTTAATCCAGGATAAAAGCAACATAATGTAGTTTCACCTACAATGTGAATAAGGAACAGCGGGTAAAAAAAAAAAACGACTACTAGTGTTTGAATGCATTAACAGTTTTATGATATCACTGCCCCGTCTAAAACACGAGTGGATCTGACTTTAATCACATTTGCTCCGGAGCAGGTTAGGTGTTCAGCATAAGTTACCATGGGAGATCTATCTACCCCGAGATCTACCCCGGTAAGAAGTGAACCAGCGTCGTAGGACCGGAAAGCCAGAGTTAACCCTGAAGTTACCTCGCTAACTGCAAATCCTGCTTCGTAGCACAGGCCACTGTTTTGTTCAAATTAGTTTTTCATGTACCAGTCTTGAAACACTGCCAGAGCCCCTACCGTGTATTTTGTTTGTCTTCTTTGGGTGATTTGTTTGTCATCCAGCTCTCTGTGTCTCTTAACCTCTTGTTATTTTACTATTTAAGGAAAGTTCAGCAATCATCAATCCATATACCATTATGTTTACTGATGTACTGCTGACATTGCTAAATTGACTCGACTTCTTTCTGATTTGACTGCACATGGTTCCTTTATCAGAGCATCCTCAACAGCAGTGAGAAATAACAGACTGTTTGATGTCGACATTCACCATCAGATTAAACTATTCAACAAAGCCTTGTACATTATAAGTGAATGAAAGTATGGTTAGCTGACATCCATTCTGTATTTGATAAATGGTCTCACTCTTAATGATTGATGTATAGAGAGGTCTGACTAGAAGATACAAATCCATATCATTATGATTCTTGTTTTGTCTGGCTATTTTACTTGGATGAAGAACATGGACTCTGATCATCATTTGGGAAGTCAGTCTGCGGGACTGATGACTAGTTTGATCTTCTTTGATGTTTCCCCTTGTCTATGCTGGTGCCTTTGAGCATGACGGACAGGCCTTGAACAAAAAAGCTCCTCTCACCAAAGTTGACTGAAAAGTCTTTGAAGTACTATTAAATATGTATTTGAATGTTAAGAAATCAACTAATTTCTTTGTGAGGTCAACTCTGTCCAAAGAAATGGAAGCAAATACTTGGCTAATGCCCCTGAGAAAAGTTTACAGAATCAAGTTTCAACAGAAAGTAATAGTCATTTTGCTAAAGGAAACATCAAAAGTAGAGATGGAAAGATAATATTTACATTTACTCAAGTAATGTACTCAAGAACACTTTTTAGGTCATTTACTTTACATTTTTTGTTTCTTTATACCGCTTATTTTAAATAATTAATGTACTCTTTACTCTACATCTAGAATATATACAAAAGTTAAATAAGGTTGTACAAGACAATAATGTGCTGCCACAAACAGGAGATATTGAAAATAATGATGATTGTAAAGTAAGAACATATGTTTATATAATGTAAAATGATCAATTGCAATTCAGTTGTATTTACATATTATTACCTGAGCTTTTCATATGGTTTTACATATAATTGTCTGAACCCCAAAATGGTGAAATTAGGGGAATTTAGGGAAAGCAATGATGCAAATTTTAAGAGTAGATTTGTCTTTCCCGTTTTCCTCTCCCAATTATTATCTCAAAACCCCTCAACTGAGGACTTCTGAAGCCCAGTTTGCAGGTAGGCAGTCTTAATAGCACACGCCAACGTTCTACGAAGCTATTAGTATTTATGAACATCAATGCTATTCATAAAAGGTTGGATTTTAACCATTGATGGACCGGCTGATGTACTTGCTTGAGTCAACTTTCAAAGAAGATATATACGCTAATGAATCTCAAAGTTGCATAGATTTCTAAGATAGCCTGGAATAAAATAAATCACGCTGCCACTGAATCACTCTTAAGTCATGACATGGAGAAAAAGTGGATGATGTTCAGTCAGCAGTGAGGGAGTTCATTTAAATGTTAACCTTCTGATTCTACATGAAACTTTGCCCCCTGGAGTTGTTCAGTCAGCTGAGAGAGGAACTCACTGCCCTCAAATGGTAAATCTAAAATGTATTCCGTTTATGGAATATTTAAAAGTTGACGGATGCACGAAAAATGTCTGCAGTAAAAAAGAAGAAATCAAATTAACTTCTGACAAACAGAAACAGCAATGTCTTCCAAGATTGAAGGTCCTTTTCGTTTGATTTTAATAGAGATGAATTTGCATGTCATATTGCTTTATTATTGCCTGTATTTTCTCATGCTTTCCTTTTCAGTTTGGGTTTTGAGGCAGGCTCTCCTTGTTCTCCTGTCCCACCATGTGTTCAGATGAGGAAGGGCATTGTAATTATGATTGCCCGTACTTTCAGATTTAACACATACTGGTTATATGGTCAACACCTCAACCATACTTCACAAAATGATTAAAGAAATGATCTGTTACACAAAAATATGTCTATGTTGTTCTGGTCTTTTCACCTCTTCATGCCTTGGAAACAACATCAGATGAAAACGTTGAAGATAAAAAAAATGAATTTGATCCAGGAGTAATCTTCAAAATGTAGTAAGATCTGGAGAGTAACATCACTCTCCACATCTTACTCCCCCCCTCCCCGGATTTTTTTTAATTTAAAGGCTATTCAAGTATTGGTGGGAGTGCTAGTTTTGGATTTTGATTTAATCAAGGATTTTATCTTGCAATCAATATCTTTTCTCTTCAATAATGTCAAGCCTACGCTGTATTCTCTTTACTATTTAATAATAAAAATGACGTGAAGAGAAAGTGTAATCCGTCATTTTTGTTCTCAACGTACAGTAAAACACATCACATGCGATAAAAATGTGTTATATTCGGTATAACGGTACACCAACACAATGTAACGCCCACAGGGTGTTTAAAAATATAACTGTACTTGGCATCTTATCTAATGTTTTATTTATTTATTAATTAAATGTGTTTGCAATAAGTTTATTTTCTTTTACAGTATCCTATGTAGATTTATACTTTAGTATGGAGAGTTTTAGATAGTGTTAGTTAACGTTAACTTATGTGTAAACTTCCATTCAAACCTATTACCGATGGATTATAACACACTAATTATAAACTAACTGTAATAAAGTTGATTAAAATTATTTTTCAAGCATAGAGATCATTTTTAAAATCTTCATCTACTGTTTGTGAGATTCCTCTTGGGGATCAAGGGATTTGGATCTATATTGTTTGATGATAATTCATTTATTTGTTTTATTTTATTTTATAGATTCAACATGCGACGTAACTAAAATGATCAGATAAATATATTGGAGTTAGAAGTTAAATTTCCCTTTGTGTATACTTAAGTAACTTAAGTTAATGTATTTTGTTACTCTCCACCTCTTCTTCTAATACATTTGCGCTATCGTTAAAACATATTTAGCATTAATCAAAGGTGGAAGAAGTACTTGGGTTGTGTACTTGGGTAAAAGTAGAAGTCCCAAAGAGCAGGAATACTTTGTTACAATAAATGTCCTGCATTCAAAACCTTACTTAAGTAGAACTACAAAAGTATTGGAAACAAACTATACTTAAAGTACCAACATTAATAATAATCATTATGCAAATTGGTCAATTTCAGAATAATTTATATGATATATTTTGATTATAATTATTGATGCATTCAGCTGGTAAAGGTGCAGCTAGTTTTAATGACTTTGTATACTGCAGGGTAGTTTGTGTATTTACTCCAGGTGTAACTAAAGTCTGATTTAAGTGTTGTTGAATATATTTCACATCATTAATCCAAATCAGCAAAGTAACTAAAGGTATACAATTCATGTTGTGGAGTAAAAATACACTATATACCTCTATTGGAGAAGAAGTACAGAGTAGCACCACATTTAAATACTCAAGTAAAGTACAGGTCCCTCAAAATGGAACTTAAGTACAGTACTTGAGTAAATGTACTTAGTAGTTTAACATCTCTGGCACTAATATCCAGACTCTTCTGCCCTGTGGGATTAGGTTAGAGAGAGGGTGCTCTTCTTCCTCCCCCATCTCCTCCTCCTCTGTCCCTCCATGTGTTTGGGATGAAGTGACGTCACGCAGGGTTGGTCTTTGCCGTTTATTAGCCAGGGGAGCCAAGTGCCAGGTTGCAAGAGCTTCACACTGCAGCTCTGTCCGGCCAGCGGCAGAGGGGATGTCCTACTAACTTCCACAAAAAAAAACTTTCTAGAAACTTTCGGTCGAACAGAAAAAAAAAACCCACTGACTGACAAAGTGTCGCAACTGGCCTCACTCCTGCTTTAATGAAACGTTTACATGTTATTCTTCTGAGACTTTAAAACAGAGGCTGCATATCCACTTTGATAACTCTTGAATGAGCCGCTTGCGTAGAGAGATTTTGTTTGTCCTTATTTTAAATTTGACGTTGGGATAACGTTTTTTTAATTCTTTCTTTGAATCATTTAAAGACTCGTGATGGCTGTCCTATCACTAGCGTTGCTACTTGTAGGATTTGTATTGACTTCAGCTGACAAGGTAAGTGTCCGTGCCGCTTCACTGTCGCCTCGTTTTCCTGCCAACTGTTGCTGAAATGTGTCGCTTGTTGTCCCGTGAACCCAACGCAGAAGCGGGGCTGGCACGGCGACAGGTTATTATTTTTAAAGTCTTAAAACGTTCACGTTTTGGCTTTGCGAATACGCACACTGCTTCCTCTGTGAAATACATGTTGACAATGCACACGCATGAGTTACATAAGAGTAAAATAGAGGCATTTATGTTATTTCGTTTTTTTTAACAAGTAGCGTACAGTAAACTGGACATCTCACACTGTCAGATTTCCTTCTTGCTTTCCCCGCATTTTAACGAGCTTATCTTTTCTCCCCTCTTACAGGCTGGTGAAGTAGATAAAGAGGGTGAGTTGTGTTTATTTTCTCTTCATCGTTTTTAATTATTACAGGGAAGTTGTGAGAAAGTGAACTCGGGAGGACAACCTTGGTGCAGTGAGATCAAAGTGGGAGGGGAGTTTGTGTGTGTGTGAGGAGCTCTGTAATACTCCCCCCCCCACATACCCTCTGCTACCACCCCAGCGTTCCCCCCCACACATACACACACACACACACGCACACGCATGCACGCACATGTTACAAGAGCAAACTGCTTCAAGGGCTTTGTTATACAGGAAAGAAAATTCCACTTCTAAATCCTGCACATCTGTTATCAATTCTGAGGTTAAGAAACAAGTGAGCTGCAACAGCGTCCTCGTAGGATCCTTTTACACCCACCGTTATCTTCTGAGCACCTCTAGGGCCCTCACACAGCAAGATGACAGCTGCCAGTTGGGCCTGTGGTGAATATCGCGGCAGTAATATCCAAACAAAGTGCCACGAGGGACTAAACAAGAGAAAAAACACTGTGGACGCGCAAAAACTCAGTCTTTCCAAAAGTATGCGTTTGACCTTTTATTTCCAAAGCAAACATTCCATATCCATAATGCGTAGGCCTATATTCCTTTATGCGTGAGTGCGTGCGTGCGGTCAACACAAATGGTCCTTCTCCAGCTCACTTCCCCTCCATCTATTATAAAGTGCGCAGGTAAAAGCAACCGGATATAACCACAAACGTCACCACACAAATCCAATGACACGCCCACCACCTATAGTGACTAAAAAAACATGTACCATAATACACACAGAAAAATACTTCAAATGTGGCTCTTACAGTGAAGTTTTGCTTATACTCTCTTCCTGAGCCTATTATCAGCCTTGTAAAGCAGTTATTTCACCCACTTATGGCGCATTTCCACTGCAGCGCGTAGCACGGTTTAAGCGTGCCGTGCCAAACCCGGCCCGTTTTTTGTTGCGTTTCCACTTGGGGTAGTTCCGGCTAACAGGTACTGTTTCTCAGTGTTTATGGCCCTCCAAAGTCCAGGTTGTTTTCCGGGCCAACAACCGGGCTGAGTATACTAAACTAGTGAGAGAATCGCTGGCAAGGGGGCTACAACTACAACAAAATGAACATATTTGACCGTGATTTAATTGTAATACCCGTTTTAAAATGATGCTGAAGTAACAACATACTGATACCGGTTAGTAAAAACCATGAATTAATGCTTTGACAAGTCTGCAGACAGACGGCAGGCGAAAAACCTTTTAAAATGCGTGTTTTCCGAATGGAGATCGGCTAAGCTAACGCAGTATATGCTCCGACCATCCACACTCACAACAACGGCCTATACAGACATAAATAAACCAGCGACTGTATTCGCCATGACACAGACAGTCTGTGGTTTGTACTTGTTTAACTTTTGTCTAGTTTCTGAACAGATATGATATGAGGAGCTGTGAGCTCTGAGTGCTAACAGCTAACTGCTGATGTTGGTTTTCTGTGGTTCGCATTGAATATGACGTCACGGCTCCGCCTACACTGCGTTACTATAGTTACTGCCCCAGCTACTAAACTGTAATGGAAACGCAGCATAAAGTGAGCCTGGCCTACCAAGGCCTAACTATACCGTACTAAGCCGTACGAGGCCCTGCAGTAGAAATACGCCATTAGTATGGTTTCTCTTAAATGTTCCACCTCCGTCTTTCCCTTCTTTTACAAGTTCAAGTAAGGACTACTTCTAAGAAGAGATGTTGCTCCCATGTGATATTTATGAGAACTTGTCGCTTTCAACATGTTTTCTCTTGGGTAGAAATCCGAATTATTGTCATGACCAGATTATTAACGGTTATACTGTACACACTAATCTGAAGAGTTGAGGAGAATTTGATTGTCATATTTTAGCAGAACAACATACTGGGATTGAATAATGATGGACAATAGTATGCCAGTTCTGATGTAAACACACCATTTAAAGTTTTTACCATTTAAAGTTGTGAGAAAAATTCCTTTCTGACAACATTGGGTCTTGTTGCAGTTCACATGTCTCATCAGTTACTTTATTATACTCTATCTCTGTACCTGTTACGCAGGATTGGGAGGGTTACTTAACAAATGTAAACCATTACAAATACTAACTACTAATCAGTAATGTAATCTGAGTATCAAAATATAAAAGTAATGTCACCTGTACACTTTCTGATTACCTCAATATCAAATGTGATGCAACTTAATACAAAACAAAAAAGGAAATATCAATAAGATGTTTTTTTACTTTAGTGTATAATGTAAGACAACATAAACTAACCTGCTGTTACGTCACCTTGACCACCCACATTTTTTAAACAAATGTATTTCAAAGCATGTCCCCTTCATTTTAATTATAGTACCGATGATGTACCTTGATGTGTACACTTTCTAATTATTATGGGTCTAATAACCCAATAACTGACACTGCTAATTTTGTATTAATGTCAGCTGGAAGCAGGTATTGAAACACAGCTCTAGCTCTAACCCTAACTTTAACCATTTGAGATCAACAGCTAACCTTATTTTGAGAGTTTTGTGAGAGCTTTGCAAAACAAGTGCTACCAAATGGACACGATCCAAATAGAGGAGAACAGCAAGCTGCGTCAATGATGCAAATGATGACATCTCATGAGCATAGACCTTGAACAACTTAAAGAAGCGTATTTTTTTTGGATATATTAGCCTTAATTTGGATTTACAGTGCTAAAAGGGGGGAGATACAGGGGATGACACCGAAAAGGGATCGCATGCTTAATTAAAACCTGTGTCCGCAGCAGGGACTGAGCAGTTCATGGCCCACCATCTCTAGACACTGAGCAACGCGGCGGCCCGAAACAAGCACTTTAAAATAGTTTGTTGTGTCTGATTTTTAACCCGTACAGGCAAAATTCACAAAAAAAAGTAAGATTAGGATAAGTAAAGAAAACAAGTTTAGCATGAGTTAAGTTTAAATTAACTTTATTTTTTTAATTGCATTTTCTTTCAATATATTCTTGACACAATGTTTTATCAGAACGTCTTACAGCATCTGAAATTGGCACCGTCAGACGATCCATCAATTATGCCCATTTAATGTATAGATATTGGCTTGGTATGAAATAGTGCATAGTTTACACTGTTTTAAAAAAACTGGATAACACTGACTAGTTTTCCCCTCTAACGTACAGAAAGCACAGCTATTTCCTCCAACCCGGTGGTCAGCTGTCCGTTGGCCGAGGCTAGATGTGTAAGGGCTCCTAAGGCGTCAGGATGCTTCAACCCAAAAGCTTGTCTGATGGTGGAATATTGTCAAATATCCAGCTCAGCCCACATCTTTCTGACCTCACTATTGAAGTGGTAGTTCACTCAATCGTTGCAACTTCCCGAAACATACTATCTCAAATGAAATCACAGCCTTTTTTGCAGAGAGTAGCCTGGTGATCAACTTAAGTCAAATGTATTATTGATATAGTCCAGTCACAAATCGCCTCACTGGGCTTTAAAGGCATGCAGAGGTGTGAGAGAAAGCAGGGTTTTTTGTTGTCTTCCACACAACTACTGCCATCACTTCTAGTGCTCACAATTCATCATGTCTTATCCTCATCTATGACTGGAGGCTTTTTTCCTGGCCTTCACATGTGGCCATTCTAAACAGCCATGAACAACATTTTCTTTCAGGGGACACATTGAAAACCTCAGGCGTATGGCGAGCCGGTGTCATCATGTTCATGGCAGCGTAAAATTGGTGGGTGTCTGTCGTTCACAGATTTTCAAATTTGACAGATTTGTGACAAATCTCAGAACTCCTTGACTGCAGTTTTCTTGTAACTCTACTGTAGGCATCAACAACATTCTTTCAAAAAGTGTTCTCATTTCGTGTTTTGGTGAAGGTTGATGGGAGTTGAGTAACACTTCTCCACAAATGATCCTAGTGAGTTGAGATATGGTGGCGGTGAAGGCCACAGCATATCCAATATAGCAGAGGAAGATAGATCAATATTATCCTCTCACAGTAGCAGAACACAAACCCCCAGGGGCTGTTCTTGCAGTAAGGTACGTCGCCTTTACTTTTGCTCTTTGTCTGGAAACTGACTCTGCAACAACAGTTTATAAAACGTTGGTATGATAAGGACCAGAAATGAGCCTTTACCTAACCAAAAATAATACATTTAAACAAGCGATTAATTTCATTTTATTTTAGACTATTAAGTCCACATTTGACAAGAAAAATGAACACAAAAGATGATAATTATAATACAAAAAGACACACCAAAGGGACCCAGATCACATACAGGGATAGACAATGCCCTTAAGTGGCTGATATTGGCTGTGATTCCTGGAGAAGCCCTGAATTAAATCCATTTAACAATGGATTTATTGTGCTGAATGTATTTGTTTAGTCAGACTAATGACTAAATGAAAATTATTTACAATTTGAATAAATACTATCAATTTATGCAGGATTGCTTGGACTTTAGCATACATTTATCAGGCTTTTAAATTACTCCTATGTGTAAACTCACCATACGATTGTTAAGAATGGTTAGTGTATGGCAGGTGGACAAGCAGGACAGATGGGTCAGATCAACAGATGCCTTTTGCCATAGCGATCACTGCTTGTGTCCAATGTGGGACCAAACATCTGACTGATTCAAAATGTATTATGTAATGTAACTAACGAAGGGAGTAAAGATACAATGAAATGATCAATAACCTAAAATCATTGGTGCAAATAAAATGTGTATTAAAATCATCTCTAATATAGGGTGGCCCTGAAGTGCAAGTCAAAACAGCATTTCAGGAAACACCACAGCATTTCAGAAAACACCACAGCATTTCAACTTATACAGAAAGGGTATTCCTTTAGGGAGAACACTTCTTGTTTGTGATTGGACAGAGCCAGCCGGAGAAGCACTGCTGTGATTGGTTGTTTTTGCTGCCAGTCAAGAAATTACGCTTCGTGATTGGTCAGCACCCGACAGCGCAACATGTCCCGAAACATCAGCCGTTAGCTGTTAGCACACAGAGCTCACAGCTCCTCATATCTGTTCAGAAACTGGACAAAAGTGAAACATGTACAAACCACAGACTGTCTGTGTCATGGCGAGTAGAGTCGCTGGTTTATTTATGTCTGTATAGGCCGTTGTTGTGAGTGTGGACGGAGCAGCTACAGGTTAGTTTAAATCCTGATCGATCCGATCTCCATTCAGAAAACACGCATTTTAAAAGGTTTGTCGCCTGTCTGCAGACTTGTCACAGCATTAATTCACGGTTTTTACTAACTGGTATCAGTATGTTGTTACTTCGGCATCATTTTGAAACGTGTATTACAATTAAATCACGGTAAAAAAAAATGCATTTTTGTTTGCAAACTCTTTACTCCGTACTGTTATTGAATTATTCTCAATGCAAACACTCTCAAGAGTTTGCCTTTTAAAGTTATGTGAACAATATTTATGGTTTGAATTGACCTTCAATTATTATTATTTTTTAAATCTGTGAACAAAAATGCACTTGAAGAATAGAAAACCTGACATAAGTGATGCCTTGTGTCAGGTTTTCTATTCTTCAAGTGCATAATCAAAGTTGTTACAATGAAGGGTTGACCTATACAAGTATCAAACATGCACTCTACACTCTCCTTTTGTGAACAGCTCGTGAACAGCTTCACATCAAATCTGACCTTGCAAGACTTGAAAAACTGCACAATACAACGAGTTCACTATTCTCTGTGAAAAATGAGTTACTATTCTTTTTCCAAAATCAAAGGATTCTGATTCATGTTTCGCTATTTTCATTTTGGTTCCTTTAATCTTACATATTCCCTGAAGAAGACCCCTCCCACATGGTGCTGCAAACAGAAGCCTTTAAGGTATTCTAAAAGTAAATATTCCTTTAAAGGCAGGCTTTCTTTTCAGTTTATATATATACTGATAAAACACACTAACAATTAGGAAACAGACTGACTGCTAGTGACAGTTGGCAAACATTATAGTCCCCGAACGTCAGTGCTCCGGTCCCAGTACATGTGTGCATCACTAATTAGTGTCCCTTTTTCCGTTGAGCCTCTTGCAGCGTTTTTTATTTGAAATGTTTTGTGTCCACTTTCAGTAAACTTCCACATATGTCATCAATTTCATTAATGTGTTCTAATTGCTGTGTATGTGTCATCCACATGTTTTCATTTGCATGTGTTCTGGCACATTTGTATTTTTAATTTGCAATGGCAGTGAGTTGGGCTGTTGTGTCACGTCTTCACCTGTCGGCAGGGGCGGACTGGGACAAAAAATCAGCACGGGCATCTCGACCGGCCCACTTCGTGGCTTATCCGACCGGCCCACTTCGGTCCCGCTAGTAAATTGTCAACGGCAAGGGGGGGGGGCTGCTAGTGAGTTATCTGGCCCATCGGGCTTTGTCCCAAACGTCCCGATGGCCGGTAAACCACTGCCTTTCGGCCACCGTACGCAATACTTTTTAACAAAGTTGCGCTGGATTGCATCGTTGCTTTAGTGCTTTCCAATACCCCCAAAAACAGGTTAATAGAGAGACATGATAACTACATGTAAATGCATTCAATTGCTGTTTGAAATAGTGGGGTTATATTTAGTAAATGAGCTCAAGGATTAGAACTTAAATAAATGACAACAAAACATGTCTTTGTGACCTCTGACATAATTTGAATCCAAAGTTTTAGGGGCTTTTAAAAAACTCCATTATGTAGGTGAAGGTCTAAAAAAAAGGTTGTAGAACATAGTCTTCTCCGAGGAGAAGGAATGGCTTTTAATATTAGCCCTGGGCCTCCTTAGGTTTAAGCATTGATACCCTACAAATTATCTCAAATACACAGAGCTGATTCTTGGCTTCTCTTTGACCCATGGCTCTATAACGTTTTTTCAATCTTAACAATTTCTCACACCAGCTTTCCTGCAAATAGTGAACTGGGTTGGATGTAGTAATACACTGTCTAAACTTACATGCTCTACACGTGTTGGACAAGTTGTTCACATATAAGTATCAAACGTCTAACTCAGCCGGCAAACTTAGTGTGATGCAACTGTGAGGTATTTAGCCCTGAAAAAGAAGGCTTTTGATGTTTTTGCATTTTCAAAACCAGGCACGGGCCTGCAGTTTGCTTTGGTAGTAGAGATATTACAAACCTCACACAATCCGCGATAAAGCTTCCTCCCTCTCAGCTTAATCTGCATCATTTTGTGATCTAATTTGCTCTTTGATATCTCCATGTTTTCTCTCAAAAGCTCACCAATTACATTTTTCTTTACACAGCGTGCACACTATGATTTGTAAGGTATGGCGTTTGCTCAGACATGTAATTTTACCATTGACACCTGTTCTTCTAGTCAAAACCTACAAGATAATTACAAGGTTTCAATATTCATGTTACATTTTTTACCAACCAAAACCGACCAAATATTTTTGAATGTGTCTGCTTTTGCACACATTTGCTAGCCAAGTCTGGGTGGAAATGTCCTTTAAACTGAGAGTGCTTGCGAAACCCACAGATGTCCTTGTACAATTGAGTTGACTGCATATTAGCCTGTAAACAAGAGCCTGAGGGTGAATGCAGCAATTTGCCAAGATGATATTGAAAGAATCCAGCATATCAAATTCATATTTTTGTTCAACGCAGCTACATATTATCAAAGTCTTGTGGAATGATGTTTTTTTCTATGCTGAGATCATTATGGCTTAAAAGAGACATTGTTATTGATGAAATTATGCACACTTTGATGCAGCTCAAGGCCATGTATGGATCAATGATGGCATAAGAAAATCCAGCCTCCTCATACATTTCAAAGACCAATGCTTTGGCCCGACATGTGAGCGCCACAACAGCTGATCAAAAACATGCCATCTTAAAGTCTAGGTCAAATACCTTGTAGTGTGTACATGAGTGAGCTAGGGCTAACGTGTTTAAGAAAGAGGAGCAAACTAGTTCAGATATGATATTTCATTTGCTTTGTAATGTCTTTGCAAATGTAAACTTCCTTTTTTTATGATTTAAATGATAGTAGTAATATTAATACTTGCCTGAAGCCTCATTCAATACTTGATGTTTAATATTGTACTTTAAAAAGTTTTCAAATTTGATCTATAATACTAAATATTCCATTCCGTCAACTTCCCAAATGTGACGATGTACTGTTTAATATGACTTTAGGCTGTATATCATTGGGTTTTGAAAAATTGGCCAGACAAAGAAAGCAATATAACTTCCGACAATAGACTTAAAATGTGTATTTTTTTTCCTAGTTTTTTGTTTTGTTTTGTGTTCATTTAGAAAAAATATAATATATTTGTTGCATTTGTTCCTAAATCCAGTCAAAAAAGGTCACAAGAAGAGCCCCTGTCTAAGAGACATATTACTTCTCCCAACTAATTATAATAACAACTTGCACTAGTCTGTCTCTGCTGCCTTGACATAATAAAGGTCTCATTGTGTTTTGCAGACCAGCTGAGGATCCGGCTGAAGGAATACGGCCTCGTCACTCCGTTCAGCACCGACTCTCACGGACACTACCTGTCACACCTGCTCTCTGCCACTCACAAGCAGCGCGTCAAAAGGGAGGTGTTTTCTGCTGCTGAAGCTGAACAGAAGCTTTTCTTCAACATATCCGCCTTCGGGAAGGAGTTCCACCTCCGTCTGCGCCCCAACAACAGGCTGGTGGCACCGGGCGCCATGGTGGAGTGGCACGATGAGATCCACGACTTCGGGAACGTCAGCAACGCCTATGGTGCCAACCAGACTGAAGCCGGCGGCGGGGCGGAGAGGATACTGCACCGTGAGCTGCTGAAGACGGACTGCACCTTCATCGGTGACATCACAGATGTACCCGGGGCCTCGGTTGCCATTAACAACTGTGACGGTCTGGTAAGTCTTCCTGGGCTGTAAAGCTTCTCACTCCTCCACCCCCCTCAAACCCTGTCTTTTCAGTACAAAAGTGTCGTGACCTTTTTAACTCTACTCGAATGGATTTTAGATGTCCATAACTCCTTTCTTTACGTCAGCACTCGGCGTTTTTATAGCACACTGTTCTCTGAGATATTCTTCAGCCGGGCCAACGGAATAGCTTTTTGTACAGATGTTTGTAACGGGTGAGTGGCCACCCATTGCACCCCCAAACCCAACGGATTCTCCCCCAACCTTTTCCCAGCATAAAACATGAGTACCCTTTGTGCGCCACAAAAGCCTGCAGTCCTATCCTCCCCATTACCCCTCATAAAACACTTGAACAGTAATTGAGGAATGACCTGGGCCCAAATCTCTGAGACTGGCCAACACAACATGTCTGCATTCATAGAAGACACTCAGTTAGCTCCAAACACTTTCAAATGAAGTCTTCTACTGAAAGCATCACAAAGAGTGCTGTAACTCACACATCCTGATAGGCAATCACAATCCATTTAAAGATAATGCTGCTGTTATTTTATCTTTTTATTGCTAATCTTTTGAATTTCTTCTTTACTACAATATGTTTGTTTACCACAAACAGATTCAAGGAAGGGCATTTTTGTGTGTGTTTTACAAAAAAACGTTTAAAAGCATTGAGAAATAGTGCATGACAATTAAAGGGACCCTATTTAACTAATTTTCAGGTTTTATTCATGCACAAAAACCTATGTAACACAGAAAAGGAACAACTCTAAAAAGCATAATAGGGGCTGTTGAAGTACATTAAAACAGCCAAGAGAATAACAAAACATTTAAAAAAAGCTAAAATGGAATAAGAGCGATATAAAACACAAGAAAAAAAGTTACAGTGCAGCACAAGATATGAAAAGTTATTTGATTCAATTACAGGCAGTGACAGAATTGTGTTTTCTGTTTTCTTTATTTCAAATAAGTGAGAGCTGCAGCAAACATGCAGTTAGTTCCAGCGATATGTAGCACATTCAGGAGGAAAAGTCAGAATTGGCTATGAAGTGAAAAGATCCCGTCCTTTTTGGTGAATTTATGTGTCACCCAAACACAATATGCCTCTTTTACTGTATGTCACAGAACTTAGTGAACCTTTGCTTGCTCACAGACGCTTATTTTAGGCGATGTTCTCCGTAACTATTCACAAAGGGCCAGCAGCAGGACAAATGTATCCCTAATCCAGTGGAATATTTGATCATCTACCATATGGATCGTCTTATATGGACACAGACGTTATCGGCTCTAAGACATCGAATCCTATTGATCTTTTTCTCTGCTGCCACCAGCAGCTTGACATTTTATTGGTTTTGAGTGGAATCTATCAGCGACTATTTGACGGATTGTCATTGAATTTGATACTCACATTTAGGTTCGACGCAGGACGACTTTTAATAATCCTACATTCTGTGCTTAGGCTTCACTAAACTGGCTGCAAATTATTTACCATGTCATTTTTTTCAGATGAGATGTATGGTATAATAACATGGGGCTGCACAGACAAAACTCATTATGATAAATTCATTGTTAGTTTTAGTATCTTGGAAATTGAGATTATTATTATAAAGAAGAAACACCAGCCTCCCTTTATAAATTACATGCTCACAAGTAATATCTGAATGTATTGTACCTTAGTTCCAGACATTACGGATACTGCTTTTGTAAAGGTATTAATTCTCAGACCTTGCTCCAACATCAAGCCCACACGCCAGTGTGTGTGTGTGTGTGTGCGCGTGTGTGCGTCACTTTTTCTCTCACATTACATCACTCGCAACAAGGTATTACATGTAGAGGGAGATTCTTACAGGCGGTTGTTGGAGTGTGAGGTTTAGAAAAGTGTTTTTGGCTAGCTACAAACTATAGCGAGTGTGTGAAACTGAGTGGTTTCAATGAAAAATTGTCTGACTTCTCAGAACATTTAAACAGGTTGATTCGCTGGAAGTAAGCTGACATGTTTTGTTTTGTATGAAACTTGAAACTACCATCATTTGATGTCAGAAAAAAACAACACGCAGTACTCTCCCAGATGAAGGCTAAACACTTTAACTCAGCAGATTGAAATATAAGCTCCTTACAACAAATGAAATCATTTTTTAATTTCCTCTTTGTAAAACACTATAATACTGATGGTCATTTATTCAAAAACCCCAAGTGCCCTTGCCCACATACAAGGCAAATCAATCATGACTAAATAAACACAGCATTCCCAGCTAATAAGTGCTACAGTAAATGCAACTTAGGTGTTGTTTACACGGGAACTAAACGGGTTGTATCCGCTACTTTTCTCTTTCGTATAGCTCGTTCGTTCACACAAGGCCGTAACGGAACCGCGGAAACGGACCCCTAAAACGATAACGTGTGTACGTCCTATACGATAATTTCCTGATAACGATGAAGCCATAGCCCCGCCTCTCCCCACCTCTGCTGCTCACTGCTGTAGCATGGTCAGTAGCTACTGCTACTGACCATGCTACAGATTTTAGTGCAAAATCTACAGCTCCTCTACCACAACCATCAGCAACAAGTGGACATGGAGAACTACATGAACTACATGTTGCTAAATCCACCGCGGAGAATAAACATAAGGGCAACCAGGCAACCATGGCAACCATGCTCGGGGGTCTTCTTCGCTGCTTTTGGTGTATGTTGTGGCGGAAGTACAGCGCCACTTACAGGCCCGGCATATGTACTACAGCGCATGGCCCAGCCATTATATGAAGGTGGGACAAGTCCCCCCCACCTTTTAAAATGATTAGTTTAGACCCCCCCACTTTTACCATGTGGAAAGTCCGTGCATCGGTCTATCCACTCACCGCTCTTTGTAGAGCGCTGTGTCAGTACTTCATATCAAATCCATTCCACTTGCTTATTGTGAGAATGCCCAAATCAATGAAACTCCGTACCATGTTTTCACTGCTACTTTGTACCAAGGCAGATTCTCAGAGCCGTACACATGAGCATTTTTTGCGTAGCTGTGTCTTTAGTTGTAAGCCCAGTGGCGATCTGTTCATCTGCCATATCATACAATAAAGCCATCGAAAATAATAGGATACAGCATTAAAAGTTATTCTGGGTCTTTGTGTGTCATAGCTCGGCTGTATGTGTGGCACGACGAGCGCATTTTGTGTGAGCGAGAGAGAGAGTGAACGAGAGAGCGCTAACATACATAAGGAGTTGTTTCTACAACAAGGAGGAGGAGAGCTCTCTCCTGTCAGACAAATCTTATAACGTCAGCTCAGGGAGGTAAAGGACTCTGAGTGTTTCGATCGTTGACTTTAGTCTAAGTTATCTCATGTAAACAAGTATTTCCAAGGCACACCTTTTATAGGATCATTATAAAAAAACAAGAGAATAACAGGTATGAAATAATTCCAACTCATATAGGACAGTAAAACAAAAATACAGTTTAAAAGGGGAGTGAATAGTCAAATATGCATAAAGAAACAGTACTGTTTCACATGGGTGTTGTTGAGAGATGTATCCATAGATTTAGTACCTAACTTTGCTCTCAAAGTGCACCAGATAGATCCATTTAACTTCAACATTTAAAAACAAATCTTCCCGGGGGAGCTTGCCCCCGGACCCCCCAAGAGGAGGTGAGATCCATCACCTACCCACACCCCCCGTCAAATTGTCCCACCCACATTGAGGATGCTTCCTACGCCCATGCTACAGCGTCTCCAGCGGGTCGAGCGGTCTCGTGTGAAGGGACAAGTTTTTTTTTTTAGCCGTATCCGTGTGAACGGAATACTTTTTTGATATGGAATTCGGTTTGTTTGCGTTTCGTTTGCGTTCCCGTGTAAATGGGGCCTTAAAAGCCTGTATTTAATATTACATTGACTGTTTAAAGTTCCTAAAGATGTTGCTAATTTTAATAAGTTATTTTTAAAGGGAGCTAAAATTATTTCAAATCCACTCTGGTGGCAATATTAGATCATGAAATAATAAACTGACACTTTTCTGGAGCCACAATCTAAAACTTAATATAAAAACTGGATCTGAAACACTTCTAGAAACCCACCGGAAATCAAAAAATGTAATAGTTTAGAAACCGTTTTTGAGTGAGGCAGGGATATAGATAGATGTCATCCGTTGGAAAGAGTAATACATTAAATTATGATTAAAACTTTTAACAGACTCTTCCCTTTCCTTGCTTCCGATCATGTCGCAAGAAAATACATGATCAAAAAGTACAACTAAATTCATTCTTGAGAAATAGTTAAAAAGTTGAAAAATATGTTTTAAAAAGTCTGCTCCTCCGAGTTCACAATAACACCCAATGTTTTTAGCTGGAGGGGAAAAGCAGTATTGTTCACAACCTGGATTATTTTGAATAACATTTACATAATGATGCAGGAATATAATAGATATTTCTCACTTCCTCTCATTTATCTGAAAATAGTGTTGTGACGTGTAACTGCTCACATCTTACAGGTAACCATGTAGGGAAGCAATTACATGTAAAGGAAATGTTTTATTTAAAAGTTAATTGGCATACAATTGAGTATATCTACGTATATATTGAGTCATAACATACTTTGAGAAATATAAATATATTGAATTACTAATTAAGTAGACAGTATCATCACAAAACTTAACTGATATTAGTCATCAAATTAAAGGGGCCCTATTAGTTATTTTGTTGTTTTCCCTTTCACAGTAGTGTGTTGTATATGTGTGTTTGTGCATGTACATCTGCAAAGACTAAAATCCCAAAGTACCCTCCACACAATAGAAAGTAGAAACACAAAATACAATTACAAACCTGAAAATGAGCATAATAGGGCACTTTAATGTATAATGTGTCATGACTCATAATGCAAGTTTATTCAGCCCCTTCAATGTTTAAATGTACAAATACAATAGCACGATGGTCAAAATCACGATGGTCAAAATCAAACAAAGAACTTTATTTTTTGATGGATACATTTCCAGTTGCAAATAATGAATCAATC